TGATGAGATGGGATGCGATGGGATGGGATGGGATGGGATGGGATGCGGTGCGACGGGATGGGATGGATGGATGGATGGATGCATGGATGCATGGATAGATAGATAGTTATATTTTTTGGGGTATTTTCCTTTCAACCAAGCGGTCACCAACTGAGTAACGCCACTGATTTCCCCGGGCAACGCCGGGTATCCCGCTAGTTCGATGTACTTCTGTTTCATTACCCGCCGTGTGATCTGGCACCTTGTCTTGTTCCCTTCGATCTGTACTCTCTGTTTTATTTGGTTCTGCCAGGAAAAGCATCTGCGGGATGTCTCTCAAATGCACTCTATTTCTCCTAAGTTGGGTGCCATTTGGTGTGGTGACAACATAAGACCGGGCCTGGGGTTCGTTACACACTTTAGTTATCTGTGCTGGAATCCATGTGAGGGATTCTTTGTCTAGAAATCGAACGTTTTGTCCTATGAGGAGTGGTCGGAGTTCTTGCTTGTTTCCAGCCGCATCATAATTCCTCATCATTCGTTCCCTACGCTGCTCCAGGAGTTCCTGGTTCTGTGATAGTCTGTGATCGTCTGTGATCGTCTGCGATCGTCTGCGGTCGTCTGTTATCGTCTGTGATCGTCTGTGATCATCTGTGATCGTCTGTGATCGTCTGTGATCGTCTGTGATCGTCTATGATCGTCTGCAATCATCTGTGATCGTCTATGATCGTCTGTGATCGTCTGCGATCGTCTGTGATCGTCTGCGATCGTCTGCGGTCGTCTGTTATCGTCTGTGATCGTCTGTAATCATCTGTGATCGTCTGTGATCGTCTGTGATCGTCGGTGATCATCTGTGATCGTCTGCAATAATCTGCCTTGCAGACTGAGCCTTTCTAGGCAAAGGCTAGGGCCCACTACCAATAATAGTGGTTGGTGCTAGCAAGGGCATGCAACCAGTAAAAACATCCGCCATAAACATAATGGAAAGTCAAGTTGATGATGTACGACATAGGGCTAAAGCGTTACCTGGAGGCGTCGCGCATCGGGAACTCCCTACTGGTGTGATAAGTGGACGAGGGGTACCGCGGAGACCACGACGGCGGCTAAAGAAGTGTGTGGAAAGTGAGGAGTTTAGGGCTGGATCGTGGATCGTTGGATCCAGGACAGGAAGAGGAGCGGAGGTGGCGAGCGTGATGAAAAGGAGAAACATTGAGGTCTTAACCGTGCAGAAAACGAGGTGCATGGAAGGGGTGTAGCGCAAGAGAGCTTGGAATCGGATGCAAGCTATACTACAGCGGATCTAAAGATGGACGAAATGGAGGGGAATAATTTTGGGAGAAGTAGAGGGAGAAGGTGATAGAAGTAGATAGGGTTAGCAACAGAGTGATGAAGCTGAAGATGGTGATAGGGCGAAAAGTACTGAATATAATATCAGCGTATGCTCCACAGACGAGATGCACAGAGGATGATAAAGATGCATTCTATGAGCAGTTGGAAACAGTGTTAAGACAAATTCCCGAGAAAAAGAGAGAGAACGAGAGAGAAAGAGAGAAAGAGAGAGAGAGAGAGAGAGCTTAACAGTGGGAGCAGACATAAATGAGCATGTCGGAGTGGATGCAGAAATGAGGAAGGAGAAAGAATACTGGATATGGCACAAAGCATGGATTTGTTCTATACAAATACCGGATTTATGAAGAGAGACGAGCATTTGATAACATATAGAAGTGGAGGAAGAGCAAGCCAAGTCGATTACATACTGGTGAAGAAAGGAGACAGGACACTGGTTAGGGACTGCAAGGTTATACATGGAGAGGCATGTGTGAAGCAGCACAGGGCGGTTGTGGTTGACATAAAGTGGAGACATGCCGAGACAAGGAGAGAAACGAGAAGACCAAAGATCAGACTATGGAAGCTGAAGCAGGATGAAGTAGGCAAGTTTAGAGAGAGTGTCAGGAGGAGGAGACAACAGGTTCAGGTTGAGTATGGAGTAGAGGAGCAGTGGGGCAGATAAAAAACACACAGGTGGCGGCAGCAGAGGAATTGCTTGGGGGGTTGCTCCGTACTGGGAGAAGGAGGAAAGATGGAAAGAAGACTTGGTGGTGGAGAGATGAAATTCAAGAAGTACTCGAGAGGAAAAAGAGAGCGTTTAAGATCTGGAAAAGAAATGGACGTGAAGAAGACAGGCTGGTATATAGGCAGCTGTGCAAAGAGAGTAGAAGGAAGGTGGCAAAAGCGAAATGGGATGAGACGAGAATATGATATGAAGAGGACAAGAAACAAGAAGAAGGGGGGAAGAGATGATGGGGGGCGAGCGGTAGCGAGGGCACTATTCCTTCCCAAAGCAACGCTATGAGAGCATAGTGCCTCCAACAGCAGGCATTAATGTTTTTAGTGCATCACATGACTATGCAATCTACTTTTCATGCGTATATACCTTCTTTATACTCCCTAATAATCCTTCCTACTGCCTGCCGCTCAGGCGGGCACTATCGCTTCATAGTGCCTGCTGCGTTATCCAATGAGATTGCAGCGATTTATCACGTCATGCACTAACTACTTGTTTATTTAATTCTGTCCGAAAATACATAACACAAGGTCTTATCAATGTCATATTATCACAAATACGACTACGCGAAAATAGGAGATATGTTGTCCAAAATTTGAGCTTGAGTCGATACTATTTTCATGTCAGAGTGAATCGACCAGTCAGGATTATGTTGGACAGAGATGAAGACATGCTCATGACTGGTGGAAGGCATCCTATGTTGGCCAAATACAAGGTACACACGCTTGTATATAAATTTATTCATACACATCTTTATTATATGTTTATATATAATGTTGTGTGTGGCTGTGTGTGTGCGCGTGTGTGTGTGTGTGTGTGTGTGTGTGTGTG